TTATGGATAGGAGTGATGACCCCTTGCTTTCATACTGGTGGAATAAGGTTTTCCTCTAGACATTGCTGATAGAAAACAGCCAGTGATTCTGCTAGATCACTAGCTACCGCCTGCAGAGCCTTTGGTCGGATGTTATCAGCTCCGGGAGAACTGTGGATATGCAAGGATAACAACTTCTTCAACACAGCTTCCGTAGTGAAGGTGATGTTTTCTAAACCAGATGGTAGAGTATTAGAAATGAGGTGAATGTTTGGGCTCGTCACCTGTTGGAACGTTTGGGAGTAATAAAGCCGTAGGAGATCAGCTGCTTCAATTGCTGACCGCGTGCACCCATCAGCCGTGACTAGCGCTGGAACCCCTCGCTTTACCTTTCGAAGGCCGTTAATGTGCCTGTACAGGAGTTTGCGATTCGTGCAGAATCGCTTCATTAACTTCTGCTGATGCGTGACCTTGTCTTCGCGGATCAGTTTCACACAGAAGTTACGGTGTGTCACGTATGCAGTCCAGGTTTCGGCATTCGGGCAGTCATGGTGATTTCGCCGTGCCAAATCCCTCCGGGACAGACATTTACGTGTTCTGCTCCTCAGAAATGACTTACTCTGGTTTTTGGGTTTGAAGGACTTCTGTTCCGATGCTTGCGCTACCAGTGTGCTCAAAGTCCTTGTAAATATATCCCAGGCCAAATCTGGGGGGCATTCGGTTAAGAAAGTCCAAGATGTATCCTTAACAAGCTTGGACAACACATTGTAGTGCGTGACAGTGTGCACTTTATCCTCCTCCTTTTCCGGGTACTCGGCATAGCATATATAATCAAAGAGTAGAGTGACATGATCACTACGACCCAGTGGTGTGCTTGTAACTATCCCGCCAACCATGAGTTCTTCGTTAGTTAGCACAAGATCCAGTATTGACGGCTTGTTAGAAGTTCGAAATCTGTTGGGTGAGGTTACGTGGTTGTAAAGAGGGTGGCTAGCAATAAGTTCGTGCAAACAGGCTTTAAACTGCCTCCCGTCGGTTGCCGGCGTTTCTATGTCGTGCACGTTAAAGTCTCCCGCGATAAGAATGTGGGTGTAGGACTTGTTCAAAGCAAACTGAAAAACGTGGTACAGTTTGGAGTCCATTTCCGACATTGAGTTTGGCGGGCGATAAACCACGGCTAGTAGACATGTGTCCTTGTTTCGCAACCAAAGGCGACACCAAAGCGAATCGGGAGCTCGGATTTCCGGGTGATCGATAACTTCACATTGGAGGCTTGTATTATAGTAAAAAATCACACCGCCACCCATTCCGGTTCTATCGGTCCGAAGCAGCGACATACTGGGTAAGTTTATCTCACAGTCGGTTATCTCAGGGTTTAACCATGTCTCTGTACTCATCACGAAGTCCCGCGGTTGGGAGGCATGGAGTTCTTTAAGTTCGGCCAACTTGCTTCGAAGACCTTGAGCGTTTGTGTACATGCAAGATAGGGCTTTTGTGGTTAGGAGTTCATTGGTGGATATCAAGTTTGTGTTCGTTTTTAAGCCGGCCGTTAGGTGGCCGGCAATTAATCGTTTTTTGGTTTGTGTATTTCAGTCGTGTCGCATGACATTATTGAGCGTTCCTGAACTGATGGTTCACTCGTGCTGTGCTCGGTCCTCCTGTGTGACGTGGGCGCTGTTGTGTCGGTCTCTCCGAAGGACTGTGCAAATAAAGAATTTGCAGCGTTTGCAAGTTCCATCGAATTTCTTCCGACTTTTGGTCGTTCGCCTGCTGCCTTTAGCCGTATTTCTGTTGGCAACCTAGCTCGAAACTTTAACCAGCTATCCGACAGAACTTGCGTCATTCCCTCGGAGTGTAGTATTACCTTCATTAACCTTGGACCGCAGCCCTTGCAGTTAGGTGATAACGGAACTCTTGTTAGGGATTTGGCAATAACATTGTTAACAGAGAGTGCTTCGCGGATGTAGCACCACTGCTCTCGGTCATGTGTTTGTGCATCGTGATCAAAAGCAGGCAGAAGCTCGGCAACACCATGAACAAATATTGTTTTCTTGCTATCCCTAGTAGCAATACCGTGTTGCTCCACTGATTCTTTTGCGCGATCTTTCCAAGGTAGATCAGGTAATATGCGCACTCCGCTCGGTGAGTTGCGAAGACGAACTGCTGAGAGCAGGACAGCCTCTGTCTCATCTGCTGAGTTTAGTGTTACTCGAAGAATTCGAGGTTCACCAGAGTGCACTGAGGTCGGGTGACGTGCTACGCGTTGCAGCATTGCAGGCTCAATCCGAATGCCAATCACCTCGCAGATGGAACTCCACTGGTTGCGATCGTCTTGCAACTTGCCTTTTATTGTGCCTGATTTTGATTCGGGAACATTGGTGCACACGAGAGTTAACGCATCGTGATTTGGTCTAGCGAGTGTTGGCTTTATACTTTTTGCCGGCAATTCAGGTTGTTTAGAGGGCACCACTTGCGTTGACGGTGAAAGCTGCTTTGCGCCACTCGTGCTCGGTACTGAAGATGAAGTTATGTGTGTCGCTCCCGGTGTGTTTGTCGATGCAATTGATACGTACGTTACCTGCTTGTTATCTGTACCGGATTTCCTTCGGCTGTGAGCTATCGGTGTCATGGCTGAATCTCCAAGTGAAGCGTCCATGGTTGGAGAAGTGGACGCAGGCATGTTTGAGGCTTGCCCACTGATGGGAGTGAGGTGACCCAGTGGGTTTAGAGTCACAGACGCTGCAGTACGGTTGGATCGTCTAGCTCTTTTCTTCGGTTTAGACGCAGAACTGACTTTGACCGAGTGAGGTATTATCGTGCCCATATTTACCTCCGAGGGGGCGACCTTAGTATTTACAAATTGCGCGATTATTTCAGTCATCCTATCGCACTTTTTCATGAGCAAAGATAAACAGTTGGCAATTGGAATGGTTTGGCATGTTGGGCAAAACCAAATCGTGTCAGCAACTTGGTTTGTCTGTCTCACTTCTTGGACAGATTTCCCTGCACATTGCGGACAGTACGATCTAATGCAGCTAGAACAGGTAATACTGATCTTAGGCACTTTACTGCAGTTGTCTGCACAACATAGGCGACGCTGAACCATAGGAATGCTAGTTGTCCTCTTGTTGTTTACAACAAAGCCTTGGTGAGTGTATTTTGCGCTAGGGGTGACGCACGAATAGGTCAGAACACGCATCGCGATCTTCCCTGAGACAACCATATACCGTATCTTATATATATATATATATATATATATATATATATATATATATATATATATATATATATATATATATATATATATATATATATATTTCAACACGGCTAATAGTACAATTGGCATAGTGCCACAACATATGCAAAATACTTTCAACAGTCGAAGGAAAAGGAAAAAGCTATAGTTCATGGGAATAGAATTACAACAAGTCCGCCATTGCGCACATTTTCTTGCCATCTCCGATTGTTTCCATCCATAGGTGTTCCGGATCCTTCACATTTCAGCCAGGGAGCCGAGAGGTCCCGACCACGGCTAATTTTGATATTCGGTTTTTCATGCTTCTGGCCCAATTCATACGTTAGCCATCTTGCTTTCGTTTCCAGCTGACTTTTGTATGCGCGAAGTGGGCACGACGAGGTAAGCGATGGGTAGGCCATATAAGTCTGCGCAGAGAAATTATGCTGCTCGTTGGCGGGCGAAATCTGTCTGATTTGATAATCTGTCGAACGTTTTCGTAACTGGTGTGGTGACAAAGCTGGGTTCCACTCAGGTCGGAGTTGCATCGATCACATCTTTACCCTTTGCCCCACTCCAGCGTCCTAAAACATTTGGCCAGCCAACTACCTTCGACATACCAGCCTCGTTTGACTCGGTCGACAGAACTGCTCTCTAGAGTTGTCTGCTGAGAAGTATGTCACCTTACTTCAAGCCAATTACTGTCAAACTTCTGGCCGTGCGCAGTGGTAGTATCACCAGTTTAGTATCACCATTGGTGTGAGACAGGGTTGCCCAACATCCCTTCATGTTAACTTTCGCTATGGACAAAATACTGGAGTGCTCTAGGGAAATGCGAACCCAGAGGCGTGGAGCTGCTTCGGGGGGGGGGGGACCGATTTGGAGATTTGGAGTATGCAGACAACATCACCGTAATCTGCGATTCTTCACAGGCTACTCAAAATGTCCTGTGTAGGTTAGAGGTATCTGTCTCCTAGTTTGGAATGACCTTCGCACCATCGAGGTGCAAGATCTTCCCGCAGCGCTGGTTAGGCGCTGCTTCTGCCCTTACCCTTCTAGCCCATTCATTGGAAGTGGTAGACAAGTTCGTTTATCTCGGAAGCTGCCTCAGTGCTAATGGTTTAACGAACGAGCTCTCTTTGCGCGTCTGTTCTATACTCCAGACAAGCCCCAGCCAACTCACTGCCGCTTATCACCTGTCGCAGCAATCTGTTCTACCCCCAGCGCTCCCGCTTTGCATGTTAACGAAGTCCCCCTATTTTACTCTACCTTCTTTCCTTAGCTGTATGAAAGGGCGTGACATTCTGTTTAACTGCCACACAGATACGGCTAACTCACGAGTTCAGCCCGCTATAAGGTTGTTTGGTCTTTCCATACGACCCGACCCTAAATTTTTACACCCTATGGGTCATGTAAAGTTCCAGCTTTTATTCTCATTTAATACCATGTTCCAATATTCATCCATAAAACTGTCGAACACGGGGAAGTACAGTATGTACGAGGTAGTGTCACCTCATCTGTTAACCTTTTCTTTTACCAACCCTGACCTTGTGTAAACCTGGAATGTCTAAATATTGATCGGGAAACCATTTTTTTCGTAGTTGCGTTATATCGAATTGATGACTTTATAGAGGGAAGGCTGATTTCCAGCCTACGCGGTCCTGTAGTCTCCTGATGCAGGATGAACTGCATTCTACTAAGACCTGTCACCTCGCAGTTTCACTTTTAGCCTCAACACTATTTTTCTCCATTTCATTTCACTCATTTCTTGATTCCTTTACTATTGATGACTCCACTTGTTTCTTCTAGGTTCTTTGTTCTCGCTACCGGCTTATGTGTTTACCGTTTGACCGTATACATCCTGAAGGGAAATTGTGTTATGTCACCATCTATGCCATTTTTGTTCGCTTGTCTTAAACTGTTGGGACGAAAAGTAACCAACGCTCCTCCGCTGGCTGGTTCATATCTGTCTCTATTCTCTTCTTATCGCCGTCCGTCAAATTTTCAGAGAGCTGGAGACTCTTCGAGTGATTCCGATTCTGATGATTCTGATGCAGAGGATCACTCTTTTGCCAACGACTCTGATGATCCATATCATTCTGAAGATGTTGCTTTCAATCCAAACTTCCGCCAACTCTCATGTACCGTTCGGTCCCTGCGTTACGATAAAATTCTCCGAATCGGTCTTAATTTGACTCGCTCGGCTGCAGAATCAGCTTTTCTTTCTAGTCGCTTGCGTCTTAACGGAGTAAAGCTACTGAAGAAAGGTGTCAGGGTCGACGAGGGGGACAATTTAGATTTCGTTGTGGATTTCGAGGATCAGCACAGTTATGGCAAGCGCGTCCGTATTGTACGTATCGCAGAGATGCCAAATCGTTACAAAGTTCTCCTGAGATGTTGGAGGTCTAGAACGCTACTCTGATTCGCACACAGTGCTTCCAAAAGTTGAACAATACATTTTTTGGAGTACGCTTCTCTTTTTGCAGCCATCTAATCATCACCTAATCCTTACCTGTCACTTTTTTAGCCTAGCCGATTGAGGGTATTTCTTACACGGCGGCCCCCACTGGCTTTGTGTGCGCTCGTTTTAACCCTATCTTTCCTCAGCCTCATTGGTTTAGACGCGGCGGTCCACCTTTTAGAACTAAGAGACCCGGATGTGGAAACAGTACGTTTGTGTCAGCACGTCGATTAGTTTTTCACCCGTTTAGCATTGGAATCGTCTACTTCTTGAGCTTTCCAATTTAGAGTTTTGCTTCAGTAATTCCACTAACGCGAAGACTTTGGCGGATTCATTTTCTGCTGCAGAGATGCTACCAAAACAATTGACGTCCAATGTTGACCACATCGTACATTACGTGCACCTACATGTTCTCCTTTATCCGACAATGGTCTACGATCCGGGAGAAACGTATGTGGCAACAGCCTCTATGCGGGGGCGCCACATCGCTATCAAAGGTTAGTTGCTACTATCCTTCCATCTCCTATATGCGTTCGTTCTACGTTTGGCTTTTCGCTCTTTCACACACCAACTCTTGCCTGCGAAAGTTGATTAAATCTTTAAACACAATTTTGTCTAAAGGTCACCCCCAGATACAAGGAGAGCAGAAAGTTTTCGACTGAGACAGCTATGTAGACTACATATTCATCCCGCAGCATGTACTTCACCAGCGTCCCACCAATTGCAAGTCCACTGTATTTACTTCCCTCGATTTCAAGCGCCCACTCAACTAGTCTGATCGCACGACTGCGTTTGATTTATTTGCCTGTAAAAGTTTCCATAAACTACGCGCCATGTGCCCCCACATCAATAGCTACGACGAATTTTTGCTAGCCCTTCCGAGGACTAGGGATGCTTATCAAGATTATCCCTTTTTCCCAATAACATTCAACGTTGTCCCACACTCTACCAGAAACTACCCCATTAACCCCATAATGCCGATTGTGACGAACACACCGTTTTTTATGCAAATGCTGCCTACAATGCATATATTTCCTTTCAGCACCTATTGTGGAATTTTCAGGACTTATATATCTTTCTATTGGTACAACAGATCACCGCTATTTTCGATTTATGTTGAAGTTACATGTACTTGGAAGTATTGACTGTGAACGTGGTTATACGCAAAATTTGGCTGATAACCAGGATAGGTTTTACAAACATTGTATTAAGTTATGCTGAGGCAAAACAATATGTACTGCTTTTTATGCGTATGTCTTGCTAAAAACCCAGAATGGAAAGTTTTGGAGTTATTAGCGATATTAGGGTGTGCCGTTTTCGCCACATTCGGGACAAATGGCGACAAATGAAAGACTGCTAGATTTCGTAATAGAAATTAGGCTGCTTATTTCACGTATTTCTACTGTACTAGATAGAAGAAACGGACCAATCAACTTCCTATGGCAAACAAGCTGTCAGGTTAGCAATAAAGTGGAATGCCTGCAGCTCGGGTTTTCTGTTCAGGTTTAGGTTCGTTTTCCGCGCCGAACTATTTCGTTGTAGACGTTTCATCACCAATCGAGGTGACTTCGTCAGTGCGTACTAAGCAAAAATTAACCGATGAGAAATTGATGTTTGAACTTGGCTACTTCGATTCACCTGGCGTAACCATTGCTAGTTTGCAGATCGATCGCCGCCTCTTTTAGACTTACGTGATGAATGACCCGCCATAAGTTCTTTTTGCAGTTGATGGTAGATCAGGTCTAAGTCAATGCGCAGGTTTATCGAGTCCTCCGGAGAGAAACATACTTCGAGAAATTCTCTTCCTCTTCTTGTCTCTCCCTGCGCTAGGACCTTCGTCTTCTCCCAATCAAACATGTGCTCTTCTTCGTCAACGTGTATCGTGATCAATGATGATGAATAATGGTTTCGACAGGCTCGCTTGTATTCTTGTAACCTTGTAGATAACTTTTCCCATTTGGTCCACAGTGTTTATCACAAAGTTTACACTTTATCCTGTAGACAGCGTTCCGACGTTAATGTTCTCCCGTCTTTCCCTTCGGTCTAGATAAGGTTACTTTCAGCCTAGCGGTTGGTATGTGAGTTAACAACAGGTGACTAGGCTTGAGGAGTCGAGCATTCATTTCCGATACGTTCTTGATGTAGGGCAAAGCGATCCGTTTCGTCCTTGTTGGTTCAGGTGTGCCATTTGTAGTCTTGCAGTTTGTGCATCTTCGGCTGAAATGGCGTGGATATTTATTGTACATGAAGGATGTAAACAAATGGTTTTCTTCTAGTTTTGCTTCCTCAGTATTACAATGTGATTCTAGCCTGCGAAACAAGGTTTGTATGCATCTGATTTTGTGACATCTTAGATGGTTGCAGTTGAAATTTAGGATTTGATCTTTGTGCTGGTCTTTCCTGTGAACTGATGTTCATAGTTCCTCGACCACTGTTCTAGTTACCAGTACTTCCAAGAAAGGTAGTTTGTTTTCCATTTCTGACTACATGGAGAAGTTGAATGCCGTCCATTGCATCCTCCAGCAACCTTTGTGCGATCTGCAACTGACTGCGTCTGAGTTTCACGAACGTGTCCTCAACATATCTGACCCACAAGACTGGGAGTAGGTCTTCCTTTAGCGTTTGCATGACGATCTCTGCAATGAGTCCAGATATAGGGGACCCCATTAGGGCTACTTTCACTTGTTCAGAGAATGCACTGTCGAAGTTAAAGTACGTCGTAAGACACAGGTCGAGAAGCTCGCATATACCCTCGGTTGTCAGATTCCTAATTATCCCTCTGCCAGCAACAACGCGTCCCTTAATGTTTTCTCACGCCACTTGAAGTTAACAGAAGTGAAGAGTGCATAAATGTCGAAGGACATCCCTATCTCTTCATTATCGATTCGCAGTTCTTGGAGCTTCTCCAAAAATTGCTAAGGGTTGTTTACGGAATACGGCGATCCACTAGTCAGATGTATAAGGCGCCTCCATAATTCTTTAGCCAAATTGTAGGGGGGCGTACCAGGGAGTGACACGATTGGCCGTGGTGGTACACCAGCACTGTGCACCTTAGGAAGTCCGTAGAATCGGGCGATGTTTGAGTCACGAGCTTGCATGCTATCGTGCTCGTTCTTTGTGAGTTGCTTCGAATAAGTCAATTTGGGAAGACGAGAACAGATGAACATCGGAACGCTGTCTACAGGATAAAGTGTAAACCTTGTGATAAACACTGTGGACCAAATGGGAAAAGTTATCTACAAGGTTACAAGAATACAAGCGAGCCTGTCGAAACCATTATTCATCATCATTGATCACGATACACGTTGACGAAGAAGAGCACATGTTTGATTGGGAGAAGACGAAGGTCCTAGCGCAGGGAGAGACAAGAAGAGGAAGAGAATTTCTCGAAGTATGTTTCTCTCCGGAGGACTCGATAAACCTGCGCATTGACTTAGACCTGATCTACCATCAACTGCAAAAAGAACTTATGGCGGGTCATTCATCACGTAAGTCTAAAAGAGGCGGCGATCGATCTGCAAACTAGCAATGGTTACGCCAGGTGAATCGAAGTAGCCAAGTTCAAACATCAATCTCTTATCGATCAATTTTTGCTTAGTACGCACTGACGAAGTCACCTCGATTGGTGATGAAACGTCTACAATGAAATAGTTCGGCTCGGAGAACAGCTGTCAGATTTCCAAGCAGTATCAACCTTCAAACCAGGGTTCCACTAGTTGAAAGTGGTGATGGGAATCTCAATGACAACGGTGATATCGAAGGTGACTGCATTCCTTCACCCTTACCAACGCTTGATAACATAAACAGCAACACATTTAGCACAGGTAATGACAGCGGAAGAGAAGAACTGCGTCCTGCTGCATATGCTAGCACCAGTCACACTACTTCCTGAATGTTGCTAGCTGCTACTCCAGCAGCAAAGCGACCAACTCCTCTTCCCGCAACCGAAACATCAGCTGTAAGAAAGCGATCAACACGACCAACGTTAGTGTGGAACATAGTGCAATAACATAATTCGACAAAAGACATTCCAGTTTGGCATTCTGTTCCCCCTGGTTCTGAAGAAATCAGAAAACCCATTCATTATCTCAGTGTTTTTCTACACAGATCTGATAGATATCATTTTATTGGAAAGTAATTTATAGTGCACACATATACACCCGAGCCGTTCCCTCCAGTTAGGTGGAAATGAACTGGAACAGCTTATTGGTATTGTTGACTTACCACCACCATGGCGCATCTCACTGAGGTTGCCAAAGTGAGAGGTTATCGCCATCGCTTCGACTGACGGGCAGTTGACGACCAATTACTTGACAAGTAAACCAAAACATTTGGCTGGGTGGATGAGAGGGGTAGCCGTGCTCCACATGTTACGCAGCCGACCATTGGGTCGGACGCTTTGGCTTTTCAGATCACTAGTTCCTTGGACGCTTGTTTGATCCGACTATTTTGACGAGTTTTGCCGAATGTAATATTTCCGCGTCATACCTAACTATATATATCTAACATAGATTTTATAATGAAGTTAACTAGCTGTACCAAATACAACGTCAAATAACCAACGAAATTTTTTTTAGAACTTGGGAAATTAAATCCGGCAAGAAGGGGTTAAGGAGTCTCATGTTGCAGGTATTGCGTTTCCGTTCGGCGGGAAACGGACCGATCTGGACCATTCGGAAGACGTTTTGCTCTTCCGCAATGGCAAGGCGGCTCAACCAAACTCAGACGAATCCTCTGAAGTGGTTTTTCATTTGACTTGTGCTTTTAAGTTTCAAAATGCGGTGTTTTTGAAAGTTCACTAGCTATGTAGTAGCCTATCGAAGTTTGACGACGAGAAAGTGCTGATAGTTGGTCTTTAAACTTGTATGCGCAGCTAAATTAGTAGCAACGGATTCGTGACCACTGAGATTAGCCAACTCTTTGCGATAACTTTTACTACCTATAGGAATCTATAACTCTAATTATCTGATCATTACGCTTCGATTTAAAATCCATGCTTACGGTAGCACAGTAAGGATTGATCTCTAGGGCGAACAAACTTGGCTTTTCCGACCTCACTGTCTCAAGCACCTTTGGGGCTATCAACGTTGCCTGAGGCGCATCGCTGATGCCTTGTGGTACCACCTTATCCGCTTCGTTGATGTGAGCAGATGACTGTTATGGGGTTATGCTCAGATCATTTCTTCAAATCTACAAGCACGTGGTGCTAGCGTTTACCTACTGCTTTTCCAAGAGGATCTTGCTTCGTTTTACAGGCTGTTTAATGATATATGGCTAAGACGGTGCAATCACTAGATTGAGTGCTGTTGACCTACACTTTGTTCGGGACTTCATTTGGCACAGTTGGCGGCTGGTATCAATGGCGTGCTTGTTCTGCTCCACTATTTCGCCCCCTGTCACCTTTCCTCTTTGACCTCCCCATTGACGACGTCATGGAAACGACTTTCGCCGGACACGACATGGTGTGGAGCTGCTCCCAGGTGACCGACTTCTTGAC